GAGATAAAAGTAGTTTTATCCTAGAATGGTTGTTACAAGAGATAAAAGTAGTTTTATCCTAGAATGGTTGTTACAAGAGATAAAAGTAGTTTTATCCGAGAATGGTTGTTACAAGAGATAACAGTAGTTTTATCTGAGAATGGCTGTTACAAGAGATAAAAGTAGTTTTATCTGAGAATGGTTGTTACAAGAGATAAAAGTAGTTTTGTCCTAGAATGGTTGTTACAAGAGATAAAAGTAGTTATATCCGAGAATGGTTGTTACAAGAGATAACAGTAGTTTTATTGGAGAATGGTTGTTACAAGAGATAAAAGTAGTTTTATTGGAGAATGGTTATTACAAGAGATAACAGTAGTTTTATTGAAGAATGGTTGTTACAAGAGATAAAATTAGTTTTATATAGTACTAAGTATTTTGGTCTATTTACTTGAAATATAACAGATTTTGACAAAACAAAGTGTACACACATATATTTACTGTATTAAAAGTGAGAAGTTCACCAAAGAATACGTGTGTCCAATATTACTTACTTGTGTAAAACTCACTGAATGTAACTACATAAAGTATCCCAAAAGCTGAGAGAGATTGTTTCATTGTAGAAACTCTTCTTTCAGTGAATCGTTTGAGGCTCGACTGTTAGCAGAAATACAAAAAGAAGAGGAAGACCAAGAGGATCAGATTCATCTGTCATATGGAGGTAATCAGCAGAAAGTGCTTTTTGAGAGAGAAATCTCTGAAGAAGAACACTCAATCAGTTTTGCTGATTTGGTGAGTTATAGACCCATCATATCAGTTCTCTTGAGCTGCATCAACTAATCTCTTGCTCAGTCTTGTGTTATGTCAAGGGTTAACATCCTAGTGTGTCAGTCATTCATAGTTGAGTAATGTGATTAATGTTATGTCAAGTGTTAACATCCAATGTGTCAGTCATTCATGGTTGAGTAATGTGATTAATGACATGTCAAGTGTTAACATCCCAGCATGTCAGTTATTATAGTTGAGTAATTTGATTAATGTTATGTCAAGTGTCAGCATCCAGTGTGTCAGTCATTCATGGTTGAGTAATGTGATTAATGACATGTCCAGTGTTAACATCCAGTGTGTCAGTCATTCATGGTTGTGTAATGTGATTAATGTTATGTCAAGTGTTAACATCCAGTGTGTCAGTCATTCATGGTTGTGTAATGTGATTAATGTTATGTCCAGTGTTAACATCCCAGCATGTCAGTCATTATAGTTGAGTAATGTGATTAATGACATGTCAAGTGTTAACATCCAGTGTGTCAGTCATTCATGGTTGAGTAATGTGATTAATGTTATGTCAAGTGTCAGCATCCAGTGTGTCAGTCATTCATGGTTGAGTAATGTGATTAATGACATGTCCAGTGTTAACATCCAGTGTGTCAGTCATTCATGGTTGTGTAATGTGATTAATGTTATGTCAAGTGTTAACATCCTAGTGTGTCAGTCATTATAGTTGAGTAATGTGATTAATGTTATGTCAAGTGTTAACAACCCACCATATCAGTAACACTTGTTTTAGTAACAAGGTTTGCATTACATCTTGTGAACAAGTCAATGTCTCAGACATTCTTGGTGAAGTAACACAGTTTGTGTTAAACCATCTGTTAGCTTCTTAGTATCAGACATTCTTGGTGTAGTAATGTTGTTTGCATTACATAATGTGTTAACTTCCCTGGGTGTGGTTTATACTGCACTTCTGACAGACTACGCTGTGGTCAGACTAGGTGTACAATGTACTGATATAGGAAACCAGCTTGGGATTACAATGTGGTCAGACTAGGTGTACACTGTCCTGGTATTGGAAACCAGCTTGGGATTACATTGTGGTCAGACTAGGTGTACACTGTCCTGGTGTAGGAAACCAGCTTGGGATTACAATGTGGTCAGACTAGGTGTACACTGTCCTGGTATAGGAAAGCAGCTTGGGATTACAATGTGGTCAGACTAGGTGTACACTGTCCTGATATAGGAAAGCAGCTTGGGATTACAATGTGGACAGACTAGGTGTACACTGTCCTGGTGTAGGAAACCTTGTGATTTCACTGTAGTTCTGTAAGACTGCACTGTGGCTACTTTCTTGCTGTTTTTATAAATACTATCTTGCAGACAAACTAAACCCATTTGGTTTCCTACACAGAATGGGTTTATTGTGTTGGTCTCACTGTTAAGGAGAAACGTTTTAATTTTTTTAATTTATAAGTATACTTTTTTTGTACTTAGGCCTACACTTATGAAACACAGGAAGAAATGAAGAAAACTAGACTTCCCCGTCTGTCAGATCCTCTTAATTCAACAGATCCCCAGTAAGTATAAATTCAACACTATATAATACCTCAAATGATATCCTTTTAGAACTGCTGAACAGTACTTTTTCAGGCCCCAAAACCATTGTTATTGATTACTTTGTTTGATTGTTTTAGTTACATCAGTTGTTCCAAATGCACACCACAGTTTAGATTAAACACATTTGTGTAGAATGTACATGTATTTATTCATTAGTGTACTGTTTAAGTATACTGATACAGGTTTTTCTTAACTGTTGATACCCATATTTAGCTGTAAGAGGGCTAATTAACTGTTATGTTCGTGTTCTGATACATACCTCTCTAGATTATAACTTCTCTTTAGAGACTGGGCTGAAGCCTCCAGTCTGTTGGAAGCAAGAGGAGGAACGTGTTCACATCTTGAAGCTAGAAAAAGAGTACAAAATGGTAAGTGTGATATGAAAATTCATAACAGAATTTATTTATATCTTGCACTCTAAATATTGATATGAAATAGTGAGGTATAAAGTTAACATCTTGAAACGAGATAAATGCTGGATTTTCTGTTTTAAACTGATGCTATATTTGAAGAACAATGATTAAAATGATATCACTTTTCTTCACACAGATGATGTTTTAAATTGATACAGTTTCAAATTTATTTCTAGTGTTTTAAAAATATTAACAACTCTAAATTTTAATGATCTACAGTGTTTGTTTTTCGTTACTTCATTTCAATCATACTTTGACTGACCACTGTTTCATTACCCCACCCACATGTGATATAGAGTTGGATGATTTGTGTCACATCCCCACCCACATGTGATATAGTGTTGGATGATTTGTGTCACATCCCCACCCACATGTGATATAGTGTTGGATGATTTGTGTCACATCCCCACCCACATGTAATATTTGTTTG